AAAAAAATAAATAAAAAAAAATCCCAACACAACAAATTTTCTGGATATTCATACCTCTCTTAGTCACAATAATTTTCCAGTAAATCACAACAGCAGCTAATTGTAATTCAACAGCTACAAAAGATCAACAAGCTATCAAATTCCCAGGAGAAGACACAGTTCTAAGCAAAAGCACAGAAAATGAGCATCTTTACTGAATCAACAGATAAAAAAGCAATCTTTATTTCAAAAAAACAAGTCTATAGCTCAATAGATGCAGAACCCATATAAAAAATAATAAAAAAAACATATATAAAACGAGAAATTTGAATAAAAAAAGGCATATACGGACACGAATATTCCTAGAAAATCCGAGCTACAAATGAGAAAGAAATCAAATAACTAAAAACGACAAGCAGCCCATGAACAAAAAATAGAGAGATGCAACATTTGAGTTACCTTTTGAAAGAAAAAAAGATCAATTTTGCAGGACTCTTTGAGCAACCAAAATTTTCAAGAATTTATGTTGATGTGAACGAGGAGATTTATGCATAATAAAGAAGCCCTTCTTTTTATAACTGCGCTGTCCACAGCTAATCATTTTATCGGCGGATTAAAATAAGGGCATCTCCAATGGTAATAGCTATTACTAGCTATATAGTTAGCTGACGTGGATGTGAGAGATAAGAAAAATAACTATTTTACATTATTGGACCCACATACCTCTCTCACATGATCTTGGGCTACGTGAAATAGATAAGCTATTTGTTAGTAGCTAGTGACTACTCTCTCTCTTACTTTTCCCTTGTCCACGTCATAATAGTTAGCCAAATAGCTAACCATTGGAGAAGCCCTAAATAATCCTATGGTATTAAATAATGACGTTTGCAAATGATTTTTTTATTTATTTTTTTTTTTTTTGGGGGTACAACGTTTGCAAATGAAATTAGAAGAAAATAAAGTAATTGGGCTCAAAATTGGAACTATATGAATTATGATGAGATACAAATAACAAGTGACTTTAGAATAAGTTTTTCTCTATAATTTGTTCATTTTTTTATTTTTTTTTTTTACTAAATTAGATCAATTTTACTTTATGTATCATTTAGCCTTTAAGTTTAAAATTTTATGCTTATGGTGATCTCCTTATACGCATAATTAAAACAAAAAGAAAAAAACTTTGGACGAATTAAAACAATATATAATAATGTTGATTGTAACATATTATTGTAAATTCATCATTTGTGAGATTATTATAAAGTGTTATTATTAATTTTTTAAATTATTCAAATTAAACATATATAGATCCTCTTAATAAAATAAAATAAAATAACTAAACATAAAATATTGATAACTCAACAATTCCATTTTTCTCCCTATAAATAAATAAATATATATATAAAAAGAAAAGAAAATAAAAATCAAATTGCGCATGGCCTTACAAATTTGACTTCCTTCAATTCATGGAATGATCATTAATATAGACTATATAGTGAACAAAATTGAATGGCTGATGTAGACCAAAATATTACAAGGAGCCCTTGCAGAATTATCATTAACATTTTAAAAAATAAAAATAAAAATAAAGAGGAAAGTTACATGTTATAAAATTTAACACAAATTTTAGTGTGAGACGGCTTAATAATTAAGTAGGTTGGTTTATGATATTTTGATAATAAATACATAATTAAATTATAAAAGTTATACTTTTATTTATGTTGTTTTTTTAGCGTTTGACACTTCAGTTAGAATACATGACTTTCAATTGTAAAATATATTTTTCTAACCATTAAACTAACTTACTCACGTTCTAAAAGCTTAAATACATGTGCCTAATGACAAACCTAAATCATTAATCGTGAGAGTTTATATAATCGCAAATTCATGTATGAGACAGCTAACCGAATCATTTATATTTTATGACAAAAATGCATACTTATAAAGTTATACTCATATTTTCTTAAACTTTTATTTATATATGATGTTTTTTAATGTATGATATTTTCTAATGAAAGTATCCATTTTTTTGAAAAGAGTACGCCGAACCTAATATGGCTTAACACAAGATCCTAAATACAATTCATCAAACTAATCAATTTTTTTTTATTATTATTTTTATTTTTTTTATTTTTTTTATTATTATTTTTTTTACGTTCAACTGGGGAAGAGACACAACCGAAACACTCTTGTTTTATCAGAAATTCTATGGTGCCACATGTGGCACTATAGAATTTCTGTTTGTTTTATTCGGGTGACTTTCAATTATTTTCATTT